CGCCACCCCCGCCCCGGACAAGGGAGTCTGCGAGCAGGGGAATTGCCTAGGGCCATCGGTCCCAGGCATTAAAGGCTCCCCTACTTATTAACCCAGCATTTAACAGCAGGATATGGGGCTGAAGCACAGTCAAAAGAAACGGCTCAACCTCCAAAGAGCAATTAAAATCCTGCACGAGGATAAATCACGCGCCGTGATAATCCTGTTAATAAAATGCAGCTTGTCCTGACCCTTCACTCATGCAGCAAACTAGAATGTGATGTGGGTGGGGCTGGTGGGCCGGGAAGTTAAGGAGGGGGCGGGGCTCTCCCCTCTGCCTCGGCAGCCTCCCCCCTCCTCCCGGTAGACGGTTAACGGGTGGCTTCTGCTTGCTCCCCGCGGGCCGGAAACTTGCAGCCCCAGCCCCAGCCCGGCAGCCTGGGCTGCTACGATTTCTGCACTCGCTACTGATTGCTGGTCCGCAGCGAGCAGGCGTCATTGAATTACTCCGCCGCCTCCCTCGGCAGCTCCCAGGCCAAACCACCCCAGGTTTGGGGCTTAATCTAATCTAGGGCTCGGGTGGGGTGGTTCGCCAGCCTCACTGACTCTTTTTAACCCTCCATCTGTAAGGCACGCGCACCGCAGCCGTAGAAGTGAGTCGTAGTTTGGGCCCTCACACCGGACTGTTGTGCCTTTTATCCCACACCCCACCCCCCGTCCCCAATCCTTTCAGCCGCAAGAAGAATCAATGTGGGGCTCCCTGGAAGCCAGCACCGTCCGCTTTCAATCCAAGTGTGTTCTCCGAAAGGCTGGGAAAGGGGAAGGGAGAAGGGCAGGTTAAGGGTGGCATGTGCTGTACCTTGAATGGTTGTGTGGCCTGTGGTTCTTGAACCCTCTCTGCATCCCCAGCGCCTCCTGCCAGGGAAGTTCCATCTCCCTCCTTGAACCTCTGGCTCAGGTGTGTTCCTTTGCTCCTGGCCATCTGTGGAACATGGAGTAGGGTCTGCCTTCCCAAGTGCATTCTGTATGAAATGCCTAGAGGGAGGGTTTCTCTTGTTCCCTCTTTGGCTCCTTTTTTATTCAACCTTCTGGGATTCTTTTTGTTTTAAACAGACTAGACGCTTGAAGAAAAGCTGCCATCCAAGAAGACGACATGCTTTCAGCAACCCCCCTGTATGGGAACGTTCACAGCTGGATGAACAGCGAGAGGGTCCGCATGTGTGGGATCAGCGACGACAGGTAAATGCGCGTGTCCGGCTGAGGCCTGGGGAGAGCGTGGGTCCTTCCCCAGGGCTCCTGAGCAGGGCCCCCCCCTTCACGTCCTCACAGCCAGAGTGGGCCCAAAGTGGGTAGGGGGTAGGGGGGAGATCTCCTGCCTAGCTGGCGGCCCTTGATTTACAGTTTTAACAGGCAACCTGGCTCAGCGAAGCATTGCCGCCCTTTAAGAGATTAGCCCCTAAAGCGGCCTTTCAGTGCACTTTTGTCCTTAATTTATTATTTCATATTTATGAAGGAGAATTAATCCCAGTCTATATGCCGCTTTAACTCTAAATGTCAGGAGTGTGGGCCCAGGTGGATCGGCATTCGATGTGCTTTTAAAACAAATAGTTTGCTCAGTAATAAATGGGGCGATAGCCACCCTTCGCATCATTGAAGCCCAGGGTTTCTCTGCGTCCTCCGCCGCCTGTTCAGCGAGGCCATTGGCTCCTGGTTTCAGTCACCCGACAGCTCTGTTATGCTTCCTAATCAGTAATTTTGGAGTGCGGGTGGAGGCAGCTAAGCAGTAGATAATTGAAGCTGCTCTTCCGGGTAATGATGAAACTTTTCTCTGCCGCTTGTCAGTGATTTTTATCCTGGGGATTTGGAAGTTGGCACCAAGCACTTTCTTTATCGATGCTCTCTGATAACAAGTTCCAGGGCAGCCGCAGCAGCCTGGCACAGATGTGCGGCTTCCCCTGGAGCAGCTGACATTTGTAGAATATTAGTGTGTATCCCCCATCATTTTGATAGAGGCAGTCAAATATGGCTTCATTATCACCATGGAAACCAGTTTCGTAGAACATGGTACCTAACTTTGTTTGGGGAAAGGTTTTGAAAGCCTGTCCTCATGGGTAACACAGAAGTGATTGATGTAGCCAGCTCGCAGACTCCAGCCTTGAGGTCCCCACTTTGGCTTTGGACATTGTATTACTTCATGCCTGTCCTCAGGTAGAGCTTATAAGGGTCTGCTAGGACAGCAGTGCCCGGACTGCCCTGCCCGGCCTCTCTAGAGAAAAAATTGTGAGGGTGACGTGGTTGTGCAGAATTTCTGCCTTACCCAACTCGAGGACGTATTTGTGACGTATTTGTGATTTCACATCCCTGTTGCCCTGCTTTTCCTTTGTTTTTCCCAGTCCCGTTGAATCACCATTCGGGGATAACTTTCAATATGGGCCATTGGGGAGGATTTTTTTTGTTTTGTTTTTTTTAAGGGCAGTTGGAAAAACGGAGTTATTAGAAACTGGTCTATTCTGGGGCAATCTATGAAATATGGATTAATAAGTGAGGAATGCTTTCATGAAGTTGGTGTGTCCTTCTAAATAGGAAAATTCCTGTAAACGATGGTGACGCTTCAAAGGCCAGACTGGAACTAAGGGAAGAAAACCCCTTGAATCACAACGTGGTAAGAGATTAATGGCTTCTGTTGATGTGCTGAGTATCAGTGATCTGTAATCAATCGTGCATTCATTTGCATACCATTAAAGGGCCTCTTGGGGGCGGGGCGGGGTGTTTCAGGGCGGGGCTGAGTAGAAAGAAAGCCTAGGCCGCGGGACGAAGCCTCACCCAATTTCTTCCTGGCTCCATTTCTTGGCTGTGCTCGCCATTTACGTCCTCGTCCCCTGGCGACTGGTGGGATATGTGCCGCCTTTTCTTCGATAAGCTACGTGCCACATCAGTGCTCCCAGCTGGATAAATTTGTAGCCTCCAAGTAGACCCTTAGGGTTTACCTTCTCGGTAAAATATGAAACAGCGCTGTCTTCAGATACCAGGGAGAGGAAGCCAAAAGACACAACTACAGTTTGACCCATGGCCTCTTTATTGATTTAGAAATGAGACAGCTCAAGTCCTTCATTCCTTACTGTCCCCCTGAAGATTGTTTTTTGTTATGTTAAATAATGCCTCGCTACATCCGGGAAAAACACAGTGAACATCGCCCCGCCCCAACCTGACAGGGCCTGGGGAGGGTGAGTCCGAGTTCTGTACCCCACGAGGGTGGTTCTGAGAGCAGGGGAGTTGGTATCGCCTCAGTTGCAGCAAAGAATTTCTGCTGAGAAGGTGGATCTTCCAGAGTTAATAGATGACTGAACTAATGCAGGGGCCTCAAGTCTAAAGGGGCCAACGTTTTACGTGCTTTCAGGATACTAGTTGGACAAAGGTGAGACGGCAGGCAGAGGAGGGTTCTGGATAAACGGGGAGGGGGCCAAAGACCTTGTGAATCCTTTATTTTTAAACCCCTTCGGCTCAGATGTTGAGGCCGATGTCCTATTGAGCTAGTCCGCGGTTTCTCTTTGGGATGGGCTGCTTTGAAGGCGTGTCCTCGGTAATACCCATATTCTTCTTCTGCGAAGGTGGACGCGACCACGGCCCATCGGATCGATGGCCTGGCAGCGCTGAGCATGGACCGCACCGGCCTGATCCGGGAAGGGCTGCGTGTCCCCGGAAACATCGTCTATTCTAGCTTGTGTGGACTGGGCTCAGAGAAAGGGCGGGAGGCTGCCACAACCATAGGTGGTCTGGGGTTTTCTTCCGAAAGAAACCCGGAGATGCAGTTCAAACCGAATACACCCGAGACGGTGGAGGCCTCCGCTGTCTCCGGAAAACCCCCAAATGGCTTCAGTGCTATATACAAAACACCACCCGGAATACAAAAAAGTGCTGTCCCCACGGCAGAAACACTGGGCTTGGACAGACCTGCTAGCGACAAACAGAGCCCGCTCAACATCAATGGTGCTAGTTACCTGCGGCTGCCCTGGGTCAATCCTTACATGGAGGGGGCCACGCCAGCCATCTACCCTTTTCTCGACTCGCCAAATAAGTATTCCCTGAACATGTACAAGGCCTTGCTACCTCAGCAGTCCTACGGCCTGGCCCAGCCGCTGTATTCTCCGGTCTGTACCAACGGGGAGCGATTTCTCTACCTGCCGCCACCTCACTACGTCAGTCCCCACATCCCGTCGTCCCTGGCCTCGCCCATGAGACTCTCGACGCCTTCGGCCTCACCAGCCATCCCGCCTCTGGTCCACTGCGCAGACAAAAGCCTGCCCTGGAAGATGGGCGTCAGTCCTGGGAACCCGGTCGATTCCCACTCGTATCCCCACATCCAGAACAGTAAGCAGCCTAGGGTGGCCTCTGCCAAGGCGGTCACCAGCGGCCTGCCGGGGGACACGGCTCTCCTGTTGCCCCCTTCGCCTCGGCCTTCACCCCGCGTCCACCTTCCCTCCCAGCCCGCTGCGGACACCTACTCCGAGTTCCATAAGCACTATGCCAGGATCTCCACGTCGCCCTCGGTCACCCTGTCGAAGCCATACATGACGGTCAGCAGCGAGTTCCCCGCGGCCAGGCTCTGCAGCAGCAAGTATCCTAAGGCTCCAGAAGGAGCCGAAAGCACCCAGCCAGCTCCCGGGCACACCCGGAAAACAGCAGGTCAGGACAGAAAAGATGGCAGCTCACCTCCTCTCTTGGAGAAGCAGACGGTTACCAAAGACGTCACCGATAAGCCACTAGACTTGTCCTCTAAAGTGGTGGATGTAGAGGCTTCCAAAGCTGACCACATGAAAAAGATGGCTCCCACGGTCCTGGTTCACAGCAGAGCTGGAAGCGGCCTAGTGCTCTCCGGAAGTGAGATTCCGAAAGAAACTCTATCTCCTCCAGGAAATGGCTGTGCTATCTATAGATCTGAGATCATTAGCACGGCTCCCTCGTCCTGGGTGGTGCCCGGGCCAAGTCCCAACGAAGAGAACAATGGCAAAGGCCTGCCGCTGAAAAACAAGGCCTTGGACTGGGCCATCCCGCAGCAGCGCAGTTCTTCGTGTCCCCGCATGGGCGCCGCCGACGCCGTGGTCGCTAACGTTTCGGGGTCGGTGTCGAGCGCCGGCCGCCCAGCCTCTGCATCGCCGGCCCCAAATGCCACCGCCGAGGGCAGCAAGACCAGCAGGAGCTCCGTGGATACCACGCCATCCGTCATCCAGCACGTGGGCCAGCCCCCGACCACACCTGCCAAGCACAGCGGCGGCACCGGCAGCAAGGGCGCCAAAGCCAGCAACCCAGAGCCGAGCTTCAAAGCAAACGAGAATGGCCTCCCGCCGAGCTCAATATTTCTCTCACCAAACGAGGCGTTCAGATCCCCACCAATCCCCTACCCCAGGAGTTACCTGCCTTACCCAGCACCCGAGGGCATTGCCATAAGTCCCCTCTCCTTACACGGCAAAGGCCCTGTCTACCCTCACCCGGTGTTGTTGCCCAATGGCAGTCTCTTTCCTGGGCACCTCGCCCCAAAGCCGGGACTGCCCTATGGGCTACCCACGGGCAGGCCGGAGTTTGTGACCTACCAGGACGCGCTGGGGTTGGGCATGGTGCATCCCATGTTGATACCTCACACGCCCATCGAGATCACTAAAGAGGAGAAACCGGAGAGGAGGTCCCGGTCCCACGAGAGGACCCGCTACGAGGACCCAAGCCTCCGGAACCGGTTTTCCGAGATGCTGGAGGCTGGCAGCACCAAGTTACATCCAGAAGTCCCCGCGGACAAGAACCTAAAGCCCAGCCCCAGCTGGAATCAAGGGAAGACCGTCGTCAAGAGTGACAAGCTCGTCTATGTAGACCTCCTCCGGGAAGAGCCAGATGCGAAAACCGACGCTAACGTGTCCAAACCTGGCTTCACAGCTGAGGGTGTCGGCCAGAGTGCCGAGCCCACCAAACCCCCGCCTGACCCAGCCCTGCAGCCACACCGGGATTTCATTGCCCTGAGAGAGGAGTTGGGGCGCATCAGTGACTTCCACGAAGCCTATACTTTCAAACAGGCTCCAGGCCAGCCAGTCTTCGGCTTAAGCAAGGAGAATGTTCCAGCAGGAACCAACAAGGAGAACCTGGCGATGCCGGTCTCGAATTCATTCCTGGAGCCGACCCTGGGGAGCGATGGCTCTGCGGTCACTTTCGGGAAAACCCAAGAGGATCCCAAACCATTTTGCGTGGGCAGTGCCCCACCGAGTGTGGACGTCACCCCCACCTATACCAAAGACGGAGCTGACGAGGCAGAATCAACTGATGGCAAAGTTCTGAAACCGAAGCCATCTAAGCTGGCAAAGAGAATCGCAAACTCCGCTGGTTACGTGGGTGACCGGTTCAAGTGTGTCACTACTGAACTGTACGCAGACTCCAGTCAGCTCAGCCGGGAGCAGCGGGCATTGCAGGTGAGCCCCCCACCCGAATTTCAGGAGCCTGACCAGTTGTCAGGTTTTTTTTAATGTGTGAAGAGGAGGGGGCCGGGGGTATGATAGGGCAGGACACCGGGCTGATTTGGTTAATGAAGCTTATGATAATTTAAATGTTTGAAATGTGTCCAGTAAGGGGACGTAAGTGGATACTTGAAGTTATTCTGTAGATTTTAAGCGAACTCCACTCGAATGCTGATAACGGAAGTTTTAATTATTGCGAAGGATGTCTAAAAGACTGCATGACATTTACCTATCAATCGCTTTGATTTCTCTGCCGTTACTGTACGTTAACAAATATACCTAAAAGCGCTGCTTAGAATGCCTTACGTGATACTTGGTGGAGGTGTGTAGCGGCCGCATGTCTGTGAGATTCGTGCAATTTTTTTTTTTTCACCAAAAGAACAAAACAAACAAACAAAAAAACAAAAAAACAAACCTTGCTTAAAGGGGTAGAGTATGTATTTTACTTGCTAGTGAATGATAGATGTTGTATAGGAATGTCCTTAAGATATTTTACTTTTAATTAAAAGATAAATAAAGCCAAATTGTTTTGCAATGTTAAGAAAAAAATTGGTTTATGCTTATAAAAATGGATGAAGTTATCTAAATGATCCATTGAGTGCCCATTTTAATTACATAGATGGAAGGATTACAAGAGGACAGTATTTTATGTCTACCCGCTGCTTACTGTGAGGTCAGTTCTTCAAATTTTTATTATTAGAATCTTACATAAACCTTTTGAGTTAAATTTCATTTCCAAATATACAAAGGGAAGTTTGTGGGCCATGGTCGTCTTTATTCACTGTGCATTTGTTTTCTTTTCTGTTGTGTTTTTGTTTCGCTTTCTTTGCGTTGTGTTTTTGTTTTGTCTTATTTACCTTCGAAAGAGAATGTCTGTCTCTATGCCACAGTGTATGTATGGCTATGCATACACACCACCTATATCTCTACATACATATGGCTTTATGAATAAAGAGTGTGTGACTAGTTACCTATAGACACTCTTACATTTTTATCGTTAAATTTTAAAATATCTCAGTTGTATCATAAATTGTGGTTGGTTTTGGGCGAACTTTTCTTTGAAGATACTTTCCTTTAAGGTAAGGGCAGTGAAATGGCTTTGGTGGTAAGGTGTGTCTTTTTTCCATCTCCGTTCTCTTTCTAGCGTGCAATGATGCGCTTCTCAGAGTTGGAGATGAAAGAGCGAGAAGGTGGCCACCCCACGACCAAAGACTCCGAGGTGTGCAAATTCAGCCCTGCTGACTGGGAAAGGCTGAAAGGAAGTCAGGACAAAAAGCCAAAGTCGGTCGCCCTGGAGGAGGCCATTGCCGACCAGAACGACAGTGAGAGATGTAAGTGAACCCAGGCGGCTCGCGTGTGGTACCACGTCGGTGGGAACGGGGCGGTTCCGCTCCCAGTGCTGAGGGAGGTGAGAGGAAACAGTACGCTTCCGATGGCCCAGCATCCGGGTGGTGGCTGTTCGGAGAACGGGCTGCTCTGGCCATCCTTCCCAGCTGTGGATTGCAAGGCTGGTTGTCCTTTTGAGTGCTGCGGCATCCAGGAGTGAAGCACCTATGAAATGTTTCCTGGCACACATCTCCTTTTTCCGGAGAAATGCTAGTCCTGTAGTTAGTAATAGCCTAATACAGTAGAGCCGAGGAATGGCAGCGCAAGACCTCCAGCGTAGCAGGTATGTGTTCCGTTTTGTAGCAGGTACGGATGCGGGTTTTTGGTAGCAGTGGAATGACACTTGCAGCCAGAGCCAGACCCTCCAGAGTGACAGCCTCCTATGGGAGGGAGTGGAGAGTACTCGGATTCTCCCTCCAAAGGCAGAGGTTTCGTTAAAATGAGATGAGGGCCGATAAAGGCACCAGAAAGATGAGCATAATTATTTTCTATGGCAGAGGCTTGTTTGCAGTCATTAGGAGTTGACAAGACGCTCCAAGGGCGTGGGATAAACGAGGGCGTTCTTCCTACCAGACGGGGTGTATTATGTTTTGGAGGCAAAATTGGAGAGAAAGCTAGTGTTTGCCTCGAGTCACACTCTGCGGTCCCGACAGCTGCTTCCCCACTGGGGATGACTTCGGGCTTTGCCCTCGAGACTTCCTGGGCTAATGAGGTGTGTTGGCAGCAAGTGGAGGTCTTTCTCCCGCTTTCTTCAGTGTGCGTGCTTGTGGCCTGCAGCCTGCTCCGGACCCCAGAAACCTCATCGGTGATGGTGAATGAGGGCATCTAGGTGGACGTCGAGGACAGGGTGGGCGTGAAATCCTCCTGAGACAGGACAGTCGGGAGTGGTGGGCACGTTTGGGAGGTCCAGGCCCTTGGACCCAGTCGTAGGGGTCGGCGTTCCCCCGCACGCTTAGGTCGTGGGTGCCTGATGCAGTTCGGGAAAATTGTGGTCAGCAGCAGCGTGTGCTTCTCTCTGCTGCTTGGAGTGCTGCCCTCCCCCAGCTCATCTTTGGGGTCAGACAAAGAAAGGCCTGTGGCCGGGGTTCTGGGTAAGCCACACCGGGACCGGTTTGTCCTACGTGGCTCCCGTAGAAGGGGATTTCTGTGGCTGGTCAGTGACGGCCTTATCCGAGTGATGGGGCTCTTGATGTGCCTGGAGTAGACGATTCCGAGCCCCTCCCCCTCGGGATTGGAATGAAAGACGGAGGGTCCAGGCCACCCGCCACCTGCGAGTAAAGCAGCAAGAAAGCCTCCCTCCTTGCCTGTGCTCACAGCTGACACGCAGCCCTTACCCTCCTGAGTGGCCTCATAACTCAGCTCTCGGGGAAGTTTCTGAGAGATCTGATAGAAGTGGGCAAGGCCAAGTTCACGGGGATGCACTTTTCTGAGGAGGGGATCTGCCTGTTCTGGGTGGATGGTGAGGGAGGCTGGAGGAAGGGAGTGGGAAGTTAACCAGCCTCCAGTCTTCTTGCCCTTTTCTCCAGCACCATGGCCAAACCCTGGGTGGCCGCTGCCCTTCATGTCTCAATGGCCTCACCCCGCCCTTCTTCCCAGAGAAGTTTGTGTGTGTCCTTCCCAGTCTTTCCTG